GGGGCGTTTAAGATATAACGGTATAAAATAGACTCGGCAAATTCAAATCGTGACGGAATCGTATTTGCGCAGTTTATAATCACTCGATATGGCTTGCAACAAATTGCAATTTCACATTCAATACCCACGGTGCTATTTTTCCTGAATGCACACTATTTATTTTTTATTTTGTATACTGACACCGTGAAAATCGCGAAATAATAAATCCAACTACTACAATCACAGTTTCACAGTTTACGATTTCACTCGCGTATATATAGGTATAATATAATACTATGCATTTATAATAAATTGCAGTTTCGCTCAAAAGTAAGTTAAGAAAATATTTTTGTAACATGATAATTTTTTACATATGTATCTCTGTGTTATCGCGTTTTACAAGTCGTGTGTGCTGATAAAATTAATAAACATTAATACAGAGAAAGAGGTACGTGTAACTGGCACACACGAGGGAGCATTTGAGTGGACCGAGGAAAAGCCAACGCGGCACAGTGGAAAAGGCGCATTGGTGGCCGGCCGAGTAGAACGAGTCCAGATTGTGTCAGGCGTGGGCACCTAGTAGAAAAGTCGTTTACGTCAGACAGTAGCCAAAGCGAGTCGTGACTTCTGGTCCACGCGGCCGGCGGTAACAGTTGTTCGTCCCGCTACGTGTGATACATACGGCGTGGCGCCTGCTTCCTGTCTTGCGGTCTTACGTGGCTGGAAAGTCACGTTCCAATGCGCCGAATGTCCAGTTGCATTCGTAGCAGCTGCCCGAACAGATAAATAATTCCGGTTTAATTCCCGAATCGAGATAAATCTACGCGCTACGAGCGAGATTATACTCTCTCGCACAATTAGCGATTCTCTCTCGATTGAAGATATTAAATCACAAGCCGAACGGATGGACGAAAGAACAGGTGAGAAAGGAAGATGTATAAGCTCCGTATATGGATATCACTTTAAATTATAGACGCGCGTAAACTCCGCCGATGAGAAATGAGAAGGAAATTCATCAGTTGGTTAGACATCCGCGAAGACACTCTCGTCCCCCGGATGTCTTCAAGTGCATCGCCCGGGAGATTGATAGTCCCGTTGCTTAGAAAAGATTTCCCTTCCGCGGCTTATATATGTCACAAGTCATAAAAATTACAGCGCATTACGCTTTAATGTCACGGCGTCCCCGTTTCCCATTCGCATCTCGTCGCGACCTTCTTACGTCGCACTTTCAAGCGCGACGCTTACTTATATTCGTTGAATATTTTCTAGACTTTGGCAGAACGACGACGTCGCGCGCATATTGCGTCGTTCCGACCGTGTGATGAGAGGCAGGGAAAATATAAAACTCACGACACATACATGCACACACACACACACACACATATACACACACGCAACTACAAACAAAGTGCGAGATAAGCGGAGCGGAAGAGACTGAGAATTTGAATTAAGAAAAGCCTGGTTAAATTCTTACCGTGGCTGGCCGGTCCGCGAACCCAACGAGAGTTTATAGCATGGTTTACAGTATGGTATGGTGTGTTATAAGCCTCCACATTGTGCTTCGTAGTATATCGCAATTCACCGCCAGCAGGTGGACACCCGCTTTAAAACTATAAAATGCATGAAGCGCTAAATGCTGCCCATTTAAATTTATAGAGCAGCGTATAGAGCACACTACACCGTTTGCTCTCACTAATTACCTCTTGCTATTCTACATCTTGGTCTTGAGATGACAATTATTTAACCAAATACATTACAACGTTAAATCAAGTAATTATTTCAATAATAATTGTTTAACAGTGATTTAATTTTAACGAATCCTGAACTTATAAATACTTTAAATTCGTCAAACTGATCATTCTGTAATTACTTATTAAAAACACGCGATGGAATTTTCGGATATCAATCCGCGCGCGAGCGCAATTGAGTTTACCTTAGTTATATTGTGTAAGGTCTATTCACAAGGTGACGAGTAAGTTTGCAACAGAACAATCCGGTGCAGTCGCGCCGCGTCCTCGAACTTTCAGATTAATCGAGCTTTCGACCGAATAACATTTATTCCATTATCGTCGCCGTATTTGTAATTCAAATTCGTTTCCCGTTCGGGATGATCCCATCAGCATCGCGTCGCTGTGGAAAATCAATCATCTCCGCGAGATACGCGAGAATACTTTCAATCGGTTGATAAGTTCGCGAAAATATTAATTATAGTTTGGATATATTTAATTAGAATAACTCGTGAATGGACAAAGGTCAGTTATATTTACAATTTTTACGACAGTAATATTTAACAATAAGATTTGATAACAGAATTTTGTTATATTATTACTAGTTAATATTATTGACGATTAATCAGTCTATTTAAATTACATTATATTCATATTCTTCTCGTTATAACTGAATTAAATTTGGATATTTGATAATAATATAATATGTATATGTTTGATCAATCGACTACCGTTAAACTTGCTAAGAAAAAAAAGTGTATTTTATCGTTAATTTCACACAATTCTTTAAATTAAAAAAAAATCAGATTTATTTTAACTTAGCGTCACTAACGCTGAGTTCAAATTGTTTAATTATATCATATCGAAAAGTTTGCAAGATAATACAAAAGTAATTTCTGTTTAATCATTAAAACGAAATTTTATGGAGGAATTCAAGGCCGCAGAAAGTTTTATCTCTCATTCGAAATTAATGGATCAGATCTCAAAGTACAGATTAGCGGACGAATGGGATCATGCATTAAGTATACGCACGAGGATTATGAGAATATCATCCGTGTTACAAAAAGCGGGATCTAATTCATTAATCAGTAAAGTAAGATGTTTCAAGGAAATCAGCTCTCCGGGCTGGAAGGTATCATGGCCGGAGTAGCGTCTAACCCTCGATTGGATTAAACGAAACTTTTACTTAGAGTCCGCGACCGTGTAAGCCGCAAAGCGAAAGTTTTTGTGCCACTGGGAATAGGAGCTTTATCTCTCATGGCTCTCTCTCTCTCTCTCTCTCTCTCTCTCTCTCTCTGTTGGTGGTTTTCTCACTCAGTGGCGCGTACTGACGGAAAATTTTTCTCGAAAAAACGGGATCGAAAAAGTTCGACAGCCCGAGGGGAATGATAATTAAAGGGCGTAATCGTATATTTAGCGGCGGGCCTCTGTCCGCCCGTATAATGATATGGTCTGGTCCCTCGATAAACGTGGGGACGTCGATTCGCCGAAAAAAGAATCCGCCGTTGCGCGGGGGACGATTCGTGCGACGAACGACGAAATTGCGTGACTTCCGAACAGCTTTATTTCGAGAGCCTCTCCCCGGAAATTAGGTCGTCGTGCGGTACCGAGCATGCGAGAAACGCTCATTTGATTACCATTCCGATCGTTTATCTCGAGACTGCCGACCCCGTTTTTTTCACGTACGCAGGGGGAAGAGCGCAAAGAAGAGGAGGGGGGCACGCGAGAGGGATGCGTCTCTGCGCGCCGCTCCGGCCTAATAAAGCCTTACTTATTCAACGCGGCTTGCTCCCGTTCGTACCGCGAGGCACGAATCCGGAGCGCTACGTACGCGCCGCTGTCGGATGCGGCGTTCTATCCGCGCGATCGCGATTAATCATGCCCCCAGGATCGCGACGGATGAGCGACGCACGGAAATGTATTACTCGCGTGTTGCCTCGGCGCGCGCCGTTCGCTGTCACTGGTGTGGCATCGCGAGAGGCAGCCTCGCGCTTGAGGCATTCGAGCTTCCTACCTGGGGTGAACCGCTATCGTCCACTTAAGGAATGCGATTTGATTGTGCACGATGGGACATGCCGCTATTCGCAAAATTCGTACATCCGCAGAAAACGGTCGAATTGGAAGCCCATAAATTAGTCCAATAAAGACTTGGTGCACGTCCTGTAGCGTTTACGTACTTACACTTACGGTTTACACTTACGGATTAATAAATGTAACGTTAATCGTTCCTCCTTACTTACGGCTACTTACGAGAATTTCATAGGACATTTTTTTACACTTATTTTATACTTTCTTTGTAACACTCTCCATAAAATGTATCTAATCTTTCTTGTCTTCTCCTCTTTCTACAAGCTTCGCTACTTGAAAGGGATTCCGTTGTATCGTACGCGACAATGTAAGCTGATAGAATTCCTGCCTTTTGGTGGCACGACTTCGTTCCGATTTCTCCCAACGTAATTGGATAGTCGGCAAGCTGTCGGGAAAATATCGATGCAGTCGCAACCTTTAGAACTTTTATTTAAGAAATCCCTTGCCGCCCTCTCTCCGAGATCAAACGCGTGTTCAAATTTACTGCGTTAAGCAGATGAAACATTTAACGTATTGCGGATTGCATTATAAATATCGAAATAATCTTTTAGATATAAATATATTATAATAATGTATATATATATATATATATATATATATATATATATCTATAATAATGAAAAGATTGGATAAATTCTCATAAACTTTGTGGCACGACAATCTATATAATTTTTCAATTATACCTTTCAATCATCAGTAACAATAGTTTCACAGCTTCGTAAGTATTGCAAACAAAATCTTTGTGTGTTATACTAATAAAATATTAATTTTTAAATATGTAAAAGTGCGTGAAATATAGTATGAGTACAAGATGTTTCCTAAGTATAAAAAATTTAAGGGGGTATCTCTTGGCTTATTTTATGAAGATAAGGTCTTATATATTACTTATATTTATAAGGGCTTACATATAGGTCTTATATAAAACATATGTAAAACTAAGTGCTCTTAAAGTACTTCAATTTCAAAATACAGGGATGTCAAAGTTAAGAAAAAAATATGAAGTATAAAACTTTTGAAAATATGAAAATTTCGAAAATCTGGAAAATACTTCAGATATTTTATTCAAATTTGATACGTTTACATATGGTATCAAGAATCATTTTCCAATATCGTTGATACATTTTTAGATCCACCAGGTGCGTATGGACAATCATTTTTGAAATCTCGTCAGACGACGTTATCATTTCTGCAACAACCATGGTCCATGTTATCAAACAAAAGGGATGATTGTTGCGTATGCAATTTGATGAATATATGAAATTTGAATAAAATAAATCTCTAAGTATTTTCTAGATATTCGAAATTTTCATTTTTTTTTCTCAACTTTGGCACCCCGTAATTTTGAAAACTAAGCACTTTAGGATATATGTTCTTATGACTTTTTCCTAAAGTAAACCAAAGAATATATTATTCTCTTAAATTTTTCATACTTAGGAATCTTATATTTTCTTGTTTCATTTTTAAAATTTAAAAAGTAACAGTTGAATAATTTATCTACACACACCCATACATACATAAATCTTGTTCTAATTTATTCGTTTAAAAAGAAATTTTTTTCAGACGTTTTTCTTTAAATTCGATCGTGCTAAAATCAAGACTTCAACACTGAATTAAGAAAACGGAGGAAAAGGAACGCATTGCCATTCGCAGATAAGATCTAACTGAATTCTAACGCGAGATACGATCGCCTTCGTCGCTTCTTCGAAACGTACAATCCTGCCCCGTGTCGCCGTAAAATTTTCGATCGTGGGGATTTTCCGCGATAACGTCGAATCCGTTACGTGACGTATCTTCCCCGACCACTTAGGAGGTCTTATCCGGGGTGCTAACAGACTTGGCAAAACACGCGTCGAATCGCTAGTCATTTCCACTTCGAGTTTTCAGCCGTCCGGTATACGGTTGTCGGGGAAACGACAGTTCCTGCCGATACGGATGATGAAAATTTCAAGATGATT